TCATCTTTCAGGATTTGAAATAGCTCAACTGGAATTCCATCACCTCCACTAACTTTGTTCATAGTGATGCTTTCTAAGGCCCACTTGACTTCACACTCTAGGGTGTCTGGCTCTAGGTGAGTGATCACACCATTGTGATTATCTGGGTCGTGGAGGTCTTTTTTGTACAGTTTTGTGTATTCTTGCCACCTCTTCTTAATATCTTCTGCTTCTGTTAGATCCCTACCATTTCTGTCCTTTATGGAGCCCATCTTTGCATGAAATATTCCCTTGGTATCTCTAATTTTCTTTAAGACATCTCTAGTCTTTCCCATTCTGTTGTTTTCCTGTGTTTCTTTGCATTGATTGCTGAGGAAGGCTTTCTTATCTCTCCTTGCTATTCTTTGGAACTCTCCATTCAAATGGGAATATCTTTCCTTTTTTCCTTTGCTTTTCACTTCTCTTCTTTTCACAGCTATTTGTAAGGCCTCCTCAGACAGCCATTTTGCTTTTTCCCATTTCTTTTCCATGGGGATGGTCTTGGTCCCTGTCTCACGTACAATGTCACAAACCTCTGTCCATAGTTCATCAGGCATTCTATCAGATCTAATCCCTTAAAGACTAAATAGACTATCCTTTTACTCTCTTTTTTTCATTTAACATATTTTACATGTCAGTAAATAGACATCTCTCCCATTTTTAGCAGATATGTATTTATTATTCCACTAGGTGGATGAGACATCCTGTGTTTAGCCAGGCTTTTATGAATGGACTTTTACATTGTTTGCAAATTTTGATTCCTATAAGTTATTTCAAGGAATATCTTCATACACTTGTGAAGTGTATTTGTGCTCTTGTCTGGTTTTGTTTTTTTTTTTTTTTTTTTGGAGATCTGAGAATTGGAACTTTGAGATCAAGGGGTAGTTTGATGGGGGAATGAAGGTGGATGAATGGGGAAATAAAATTATATGACTACAAGAAATACTTCAGTTAAAGTTTTGTCTGTAATTCAACCAAAAATAATATAGACGAGCTCAAAATCTATAGGTACTATAGAAATCATCTTCTCACTTTGTTCAGTGTTATTATTCATGTGAATTTAGTTGGCATTTAAATTGTTTTTTTAAAGTAATGGTATGTGGGCAGAAACAGAACAAAGGAAATATTTCCCTTCTTTTTCTAAGCATATATAGATACCACCCAGCTAGATTTTGTAGCTTGTATGTGATTATAGCTGGAATGAAGTCCTTTGAAAAGGTTTTACTTGGGGGCCCACACTCTTAATTATGTCATTTCCAAGAAAAGGTCAGTTTTATCCTGTTCTAATTTTCTCATCATAAAAGACAGAAATAGAATTCTAATTTAAAAATCGTATAAAATTGTAAAATTTTGATATGTTTGTTTTTCTAGGTTTTTAGTCCCTTAAGAACATTTTTCTTTATTCAACCAACTTTGCCTCATACAGGTTTTTTTAAAAAAGAGCTTTCAAAATGTTTTAAAGCACATGTGTTTATTCTAAGAGTTGACTTTAGAGATTAGAAAATGTTAGTTCATTTTTTAAAAGAATAATCTAATTTAATATGGTAATTTACTGAGGTGTTATATTTATAATCTGTGCCAATGAACATAACCGGCAACATCAACCAGCCTGGCAACATCTTCAGTTTTGATGTATTTTTGTTTTTATGCAGTTGGATCCCTATGACTATGAGATGATTGAAGTCGTCCTGAAAGTCATAGAAAGAGCTGATGAGAAGATAACCAACATTAATATTAATCAGGTATAACAAATATATCATAGATTTTAAAATTATGTTTTTAATTTGGATCATTTTTTTAAATTACTTTCATTTGGTGTCTTTCTGAACTGTTCTCTGAGCTCCCTTGAAACTGTACATTTTTTTTTACTCTTTTTCTTTAAAGGGATACAGAGTAAAAAGAGTTTTTTATTCTCCATGTTTTATCTTATTTTATTTTATTTTATTTTTTGGCCACTCCTCGTGGCATGTAGGATCTTAGTTCCCCAACCAGGGATTGACTCTGCACCCGTTGCATCGGAAGTACAGAGTATAGTACAGAGTCTTAACCACCAGAGAAGTCCCCTCTTCATGTTCTATCTTAATCCAGTTTTTGCTCTACTGGGGCAATTTAAAACTTGCCAAAAGTACAAAGCCACTAAAAGACTGATTTAGAAGAATTAAGGCAAAAATATTTGTCATCTGGCAAAAAAATCCCAAAGCACGTAAGACCCAGAATCAGACTTAGCTTTCTATATTAGGTAGGTCCTGGACTCAGTTCTGTTTGAGTACTTGCGGTAACTTACTGGGCTTCCTCCCTCGTGGCTCAGATGGTAAGGAATCTGCCCGCAATGCAGGAGACCCCGGTTCAGTCCCTGAGTCGGGAAGATTCCCCGGAGAAGGGAATGCCTACCCACTCCAGTATTCTTGCCTGGAGAGTCCCATGGACAGAGGAGTCCGAAAGCTACAGTTCATGGGGTCTCAAAGAGTGGGACACGACTGAGCAACTAACACTTTTTTAGTAACTTCCTATTCTTTTACAAATTTTGGTCATAGAAGCTTATATATTTTCTTAAATTAGCTTTTAAAAATCAAAAGAAAATGGGTTGATTTAAAAAGTACAAGCCCCAAGGATTTCCCAGGCATTCCAGTGGTTAGGATGCAGCACTTTCACTGCTGGGGTTCAATTCCTGGTTGGGGAGCTAAGATCTTTCAAGCCTTTAGGTACAACCAAAAAAAAAGTTATACAGGCCCCCAAAATATAAGATATAAACTTAAAAGAGGATGCATGTGTGCACACTCAGTCATGTCCAACTTTTTGTGACCCCATGTAGCGTAACCCACAAGGCTCCTCTGTCCTTGGTGGGAGTTTTCAGGCAAGAATACTAGAGTGGTTTACCATTTCCTTCTCCAGCAAATTTTCCTGATCCAGGGATCAAACCCATGTCTCCTGCATTACCAGGCATATTCCTTATCACTGAGCCACCTGGGAAGCTATGGAAGCCCTAAAAGAGGATATAGAGGATTCATTTTAGATCTACTGCACATGTACTTAAAGTGAAATCGAGTATTTTTAAGATACATCTAAAACTATTTGAAGAGAGTATAGAGAACTTCGAACACTGGAGTATGACATCCCACCAGCAACAGCGTTGCGGTGGTTTAATTCCCAGTGGAAATTAGTATAATTTCTTTAGTAATCACAAAAGTTATGGTTTAGAAAAATAGTGTAATAGTTTTAAAGGTAAAACTACAAAAAGGTTTTGATCATCTTCATGAGGAGAGACTGTCCCAGGAATGGTATCCTGTGATAGTATAGAATTAGACATAAAATGCTTAACGATTAGTTTAATCTCACAGGAATAAACCTTTTTAATTTTAATACAGGCACTAAGTCTTCTGAAACACTTGAAGTCATACAGAAGAATTTCTCCCCCAGTGGACCTAGAACATCAGTATATGTTGGAGCACGTCATAACTTTGCCATCAGCTGCCCAAACCAGACTGCCTTTTCACCTAATATTCTTTGGCACGGCACAGAGCTTCTGGAAAATTCTCTGTATGTTCATTAACCTCTTTTGAATTGTCCTGAATAGCCAAAACCTTTTACGTAGGTAAATCATGCTATCTTTGTTTCCTTTCCAGCTACAGAACTCAGTGAAGAATCCTTCCCAACCTTGCTCTTAGTTTCTAAATTAATGAAGGTAATGGGTTAAAACTCATGAAAGTCATATGTTTGCTCTATAATTCTTTCAGCAGCTCTGTAGAAAAATTTATGTAAAGCCCGTAAAAGTGAGCATATAAGTCAGTCATATAACTTTTCCCTTTTTTGAAGTTCTCTCTGGACACTCTGTATGTGTCTACAGCCAAACACGTTTTTGAAAAAAAGCTGAAGCCCAAGCTCCTGCAGTTAACACAGGGTAAATCCTCAACAATGATTAACAAGGAGATATCCAAGATCACTCAAACCATCGAATCCTACCTGTTGTCCATAGTTAACCCAGAGTGGGCCGTAGCCATCGCCATCAGTCTTGCCCAGGATGTCCCAGAAGGTATGGATTCTTTCATTAATTGGGCTTCACATGGTTGGCTATGTGGTTTTTGTAACTTGTTAAAAAAAAAAAAATGATACTCCTTTCATTTCCTTCCATTTCTTTTAAGAAGAAGTATGATAGCTTAGAAATGTATGGGACTCCACTGGCAGTCCAGTGGTTAAGACTCCATGCTTCCAATGCAGCGGGAGGAGTTCGGTCCCTGATCAGGGAGTTAAGATCCCACATGTTGCGTGGCATGGCTAAAAATTTTTTTTATAAAAGTAAAGAAATATATTTGCCCCCTGTCCTCCCTTGTAACACTGTCATATGTTAAAGAGGCACCAGTGAGGGGATTTCCCTGGTGGTCCAGTGGCTAGGACTCTGTTCCCAGTGGCAGGGGGTCTGGGTTCAATCCCTGGTCAAGGAACTAAGAGCCCACAGGCTGCAAATAAGAGTTCAAACGCCACGACTAAAGATCCTGCCTGCCACAGCTAAGACTTGGAGTAGCTAAATAAATACATTAAAAAAAAAAGAGGCACCAGTGAACTAAGCAAGATGCAGTGTTGCTTGCTTGGGGCTCAGTGCCAGAGACACCACCCAACTTGAGTATAAACTCATACCCTCTCATGTCCAATCATAAGTACTTTCTGTAACGAAACCTTAGACACTGTCACATGGTCAGACAGGTACACAAACACTTACTGCCATGTTTTCGATTGTAACAAAAGTTGAAAATAAGTAATTTTTCTAAATGCTCATTTATCAAAAACCAGTTTAAAAAAATAAAGAATATTCATAGAATAGAGTACTGTGTAGCTGATTGGGAAAGATATCCGAGATATATATTAACTGAGAACAGCAGATTATGCTCCATATATGATCTTATCCCATTTGGAATAAAATGCTTGTACACATGCGTGCACACTTGCACACAGAGAACTTCTGGCAGCATGTAGAGGTCTAGGGAATGGGAATAGAAGCTAAAGAGATGGCCATCTGTGGACTGTGCTTCCTACTTTGTCTTTTTCTGTCCTGTTTAAACTGTTTTTTTTACTATGAGTATGCCTTTCTGTCGTTTTAAAACTGGCTAATTTGGCTAAAATACATTTTCTTGAAAGGATTGTGATTTTCTTTTAAGTCTTTTTTTTATCTGTTTAGGTTCCTTCAAGATGTCCAGTTTGAAATTCTGCCTCTATTTAGCCGAGAGGTGGCTTCAGAATATCCCATCTCAGGTGGGTCTGAGCTGTAAAATGGAAGGCTCCTCTTTCTTAAATTGAAGTATAGCTGATTATATTAGTTTCAGGTGTACAACATATGGATTCAAAATTTTCATAGGTTATACTCCATTTATAGTTATTATAAAATATCGGGCTATATTCCCTGTGCTGTACAGTATATTCTTGCAGCTTATTTACTTTATTCATAGTAGTTCATGCCTCTTATTCTTGTACCCCTTCCAGCTTTCCTCTCCCTACTGGTAAGCACTAGTTTGTTTTCTCTATCTGTGAGTCTATTTCTGTTTTGCATATGTACTCGTGTATTTTTTAGATTCCACAGATAAGTGATGATATCATACAATATTTGTCTTTCTCTGTCTGACTTACTTCACTAAGCATAATACCCTACAGGTCTGTCCATGTTGTTGCAAATGGCAAAGCTTCATTCTTTCTTATGGCTAAGTAGTATTCCTTTATATATATATACACACACATCACACACTATATCTTCTATAGCCATTTATCTCAGTGGACACTTAGGTTGCTTCTGTATCTTTGCTATTATAAATAATGCTGTTATAAGCATTAGGGTGCAGGTTCTGCTGCTTTTTTAAGGTTCACATTTCTATTTATTGTTTAAAACTTATTTTTAACTGGATGATACTTGCTTTACAACATTGTGTTGGTTTCTGCTGTACTGCAGTGAGAGTCAGCCATAAGTGTACATACATCCCCTCCTTGAACCTCCCTCCCTTGCCCTCATCTCACCTCTCTAGGTTGTCAGAGTCCACTTTCTTTTTAATTTAAGTTGTGCTCTCTAGCATCCCTTTTCAGCCCACCCTGGTGATAGATTGTTTTCAAGGGTTGGAGACCTAAACTGGAGAAAGAAGATGAGGCTTGGTGTAGATACTAAGGTTGTAACTAAGGCAGGAAGGGACCTTGATCGATAAAGGTGGATTTTTAGTCTCCCTGAAGATTTAGAAAACAAGTTTTCTGTTTGCTTGGAATTTTTTAAAAGGATGAGACACGTGAAAAAGCTGAAGCTCTGTTGAAGAAGCTTCATGTTCAGTACCGGCGATCAGGCACGGAAGCTGTGCTCATAGCCCACAAGCTGAACACTGCAGAGTATTTAAGAGTGATTGGAAAACCAGTACATCTCATTGTCAGTCTGTACGAACATCCCAGCATCAATCAAAGAATTCAGAATTCATCTGGGAAAGATTATCCTGGTGAGGGCAAAACTCTTTTTGTATCTCTCCATCCAAGGAGAATTATCCTTTTGATTCCCTGGTATCTTGTGTTGAAAACTTGGGGTTCTCTTTTTAATTCTTTATCTTGAATATCTTAGATATTCACACAGCTGCTAAAGAAATAGCTGAAGTCAATGATATTAATTTGGAAAAAGTCTGGGACATGTTGTTGGAAAAATGGCTGTGCCCGTCCGCCAAACCTGGTGAAGTAAGTGCTTGCTTTGATGGTGTCTGTTGTTGAGTATGAGCCAGTGGCGTCTTCTCAAAAAAGAGGGTAGTTATGTGTCTCGCCATGATATGACTTCTCATTAGAAGCACAGAATCTTAGAAGAAGGAACATTTGAGCATTTTAATACCTTCTGTTATCTGATGAGTTTTAATGAAGTTGTTTACTTTTTCTTTTCCTTTAAATATTATTTTGCAGCTAGTCTATCTTTTCTTTTTTCACTTGTTGGTATTTTTTTTATTGAAATATAGTTGATACAGTCTTCCTTTTAATTGATGATTTCAGATGAACTGTCATATAATAGAAGTGGCCCATGCTTAGACTTTAGGCTCATATGATTCTTTTCTATTTCGAAATAATTTTAAAGGTACAGAAAAGTTGCAAGAATAGTACAAAAGAATTAGCTGTGTATCCTCCACCCAGATCTGTCAGTTTTTAAACATTTTGCCACATCTACTTCATCATTCTCCCTGTAATATGTTTACCCATAGCATTTTTCCAAACCCTTTGAGAGTAAATTCCATGTGTCATGCCCCTTTACCCTTAATAATTAGGTGTGTGATTCAAAGAACAAAGATTTTTCTCTTATTGGACCACAGTATAATTATAAAAATCAGACACAATTTTGATACAGTATTGATAAAATACGTATATGTTTATGTTTGTATACTTGAATTTATGGTCCATGTTACAGTTTAACCAGTTGTGCCAATGATATTCTTTGTAGTAATTTTCTCCTCTGAGACCAGGATCTAATCTGGGATTATGTGTTGTATTTGTCATGTCTGTAATTTCTTTCACTCTAGAACAGTTCCATAACTTTTCTGTCTTTCATGACACTGACATTTTTTAACAGTTCAGGCTCGTTATTTTGTCAGTGGCCCCTCCTCTTGGGCTTTTCTGTGTCCTCATGATAATACTGGAGTTTTGCATTTTGGGCAGTATGTTACCTGGGTGATAGGGTGTCCTTCCCAGGGTATGAGGTTTAGAGGCACATGATGCCTCTTTGCCCAAATAGAGGATGTGAATTTAGATAACTTGGTTACACTGTTGTCTATATCTCTCAGACACAGTTACTATATTTCCTTTTGTAATTACTAAGGGAGGTGTTTTGAGACAATGTAATATCCTGCTCTTCTCTAAATTCCTGCCTGCACCACCCATAGCCCTGACTTAGTCTCTATTGATGATTCTTACTTAACTCTTTTATCTGTGCTGAGACTTTGTCTTTTTTGGAGGGTGCAGATTCTTTGGTTTGCAAAATGTCTCATTCTGGATTTATGTTTCTGAGGTTTCTCATGATTGGATTCAAGTTATGGATTTTTAGCAACAATATTCTATAGGTGATATGTTCTCTTCAGTGTATCATGTAAGGAGACACATAATGTCAGTTTTTTTAGAAATAATATTAACATCTAAATTTGTGATGGGATTCAGCAATCCAAATGCAAAATTTTCTGTATTGTTTCTTTTGAGTTTTCAGGCAGTACTTAATTAAGGAGATTCTGTAATTCTTCTGTTCACCTAGGCAGGTATCCTTGGAAAAAAATGTATTTGTAAACAAATAGTATAACTGATGTGACATTAGCTTTTCAACTCATGGTTTTTATATCACTTGTAATTCAATTTAACAAGTATTTTTTAAGTGTTTACCGAGAGCAAGGACCATGTATCAGTGAAAACAGAAGAGTTAGAAGCATATCCAGGCCACATAGAATCTATGGTTGACACTCAAAGCCCCATGTTTTAACTCATGCATAAATCTGGAACACTAAACTGAAATTCCTGTGAGACTAGAAACTGTGTTTATACACCTAATGCACCTAATGCATTTCTGTGTAACTCCCCATAAATACATACTGAATTAATGGACAACTCATACAATTCAGAGTCCTTTCCTTTTAAAAATTACACAATGAATGTAAACTCCAGGAGGACAGGAATATTTGTTTTGTTCACTCAGGGAACCATGTGCTCAGAATTATACCTGGTGCATGGTAAGCACTCAGTATGTATTTGTTGACCGAATGAATTTGAGTAAACCCATTTTTAAAGCAAGAATCTTCTCATAAAGTGATGAATTACACTAATTTCTTATCTGCAAATGTAATTGTTTTATAAATCTTTTTTTATAAATCTTTTTTTCCTTTGTTGTCATCAAACATGGAGGTGCTAGGAGTTGAACCCCAGGCCTTGTGCACTCTAAGTATGTACTCTGCTACTGCACCGTACCCCCTCCTGTAAATATAATTTTGCATGTTGGACTTTTTCATTTAATAGACTTTTATAAGCTTATGTAGTCAGTCAATTTCTTCTGTTTTTAACTTGTTTATCCACTTTTTCAAAGACACCATCAGAATTGTTTGAACTTCAAGAAGATGAAACACTACGAAGGTATTCTTCCTTTGCTTACATTTGTCTAGACCCTGTTGCCCAATAGGAATCTTACTAATGATTTTAAAACCAATGGTTTTAAAAAAGGCTTTCTTAGTATAATTTGGATCAGAACCTCTGAGAAGAATCAGTTCATTGACACATGACTATGAGTGTGTTTAAGTATCTCCAGTCAAATGAATAAGAAACAACCAAGATCCAGAGTTTCTGAATCCTCTGTGAGTTCGTACATTTAGCAGAGAATGTACCGTGAGCAAAGGAAAACTCTTAACGTAGCGAGGACTCTGACCCCAGACTTGTACGTGTTCTCTGTCCCTGTCAAGCTAGGCTGGTTCAGATATGGGCCACCAGGATTCCTTTTTCACTTCTAACCTAAGACTGAGACCCAGAAAGGCACATCGGTGTCACATACTATAACTCTGATTGGTAATGGCTTGCTGTCTTGAGCAGACTCTTATCGGTGCTCAAATCAGAAAACACAATAGTCCATTAATGATGCTTGGCTTAGGCATGGGAGAGGGAATGGTGGCATGCATGCCAGCTTCTTGCCATTTTGGTGTAGGCCAAAAGTGTCAATAGGTCAGGTTACTCATGAAGCTCTCCACCCTACATCAGCCCTGGAGATCTGATAGAGAGGATATAGGAAGATAAACCCCAGAAAAGAATTTCTCCTGATCTGGGCAGAACTGGTTTAGTACCCACTCCAGGCTCTCCTTCCCTCTGGGCACTCCCTCGTCCTTGCTCGTCCTTCAAGAGCAAGAACACCTTTGTCTGAGCAAAAGGAAGCTCCTGGAGCATCTGACTGAAGCAGCCAACACAGAAGGGCTTAGGGGGAATAGTTAATAGAGAAAACTCCCAAGATGGAAATCCCAGAGAGTAATTCATGGCAATTTCATAACTTCCTGCCTTTTCCCACTGGAATCTCTATCCCTTCTTCCTCCAATTTGCCTGATCCATCTTGCCCTTCTCTTGGGGGCTGGGGGGAAGGCAGGCAGTCTGCCCTGAGTCCCAAGGTTAAAACGTTCCACTAACAAGGTCCTGTGAATTAAAACACAAGTTTCCATGTATAGTAGTGTTCAGTGTACTTTGCAGCTATGGTTTGTATTGATTTCTTAACCAGAGAGATTTAAACGATCAGTTGCTTAGCCATTTCCTAGATGAGAAGAGTGAGGCCTGTCTTTTGTGTCTTTATTAGCTTCTTTAGCTGTGAAGGAACCCAAGAACAGATTAAGCATCCTTTAGAGGGGAAAGTAAACAGTGGCCTTGACCCATAGCCCTTCAGGCCTTTGTTTGGGCTGTCTGGTGCTGTTTTTTTATGGATAATAAAGCAAGTCTCTTGTTTTACTAATCAGTCACTAAATTAAAATCTAAAGGTAATAAAAAAATATTTTTTCAGAGTCCTGTATCTCCTTCTGTCTCGTCCAATTGATTATAGTTCAAGAATGCTGTTCATCTTTGCAACATCAACCACAACCGTAAGCTCTAAAAACTTGGTCAAGACTTATCTTTGTATCTCAGCCTAACATTTTTTCCTCTGCGTATTTACTGTTGACTGGTGACTAGGATAATGCTCTCTCTGTACTTACTCGAACTATGTCTTACTCTGTAGATGAGGTTTGTAGTATCTGCTGAGCTCCATTTAGTGCTGCCTACAGAAACATCCTATTTTGCAAACTGAGTGGTTCAACTGTTGACAGTTCCCATGGGTTATCCACGATTACTGTCCTAACACCCTGGCCCAGTGTAAGTCACTCAGTAGTGTCCGATTCTTTGTGATTCCATGGACTACAGCCCGCCAGGCTCCTCTGTCCATGAGATTTCCCAGGGAAGAATACTGGAATGGGTTGCCATTTCATTTTCCAGGGGATCGTCCTGACCCAGGGATTGAAACCGGGTCTCCCGCATTGCAGGCAGACTCTCTACTGTCTGAACCACCAGGGAGGCCCCCAGTCACATTCCTAACACCAGGGACCCCCAACCAGCAGGCCTGGGAGAAGGCTCCACTCTGGTCTCCAAGCCCTGCCTGACCTGTTGCACCCCTCCCCACTAAACTCTTAACTAGTCAGAACTTCCCCTCATCCCTCAAAGCATGTGACTGACCTTCAGGCTTGTCCATATAGAAATGCTCTCTGGGGAACTTTCCTGGCAGCCCAGAGGTTAGCGCTCTGCGCTCTCAGTGCTGAAAGCTCAGGTTTGCTCTCTGGTCAGGGAGCTGAGATCCCGCAAGCCACAGGACATGGTCCAAAAAAAAAAAAGTGCTCTCTGAGGCAGTTGGAGCTGAGGGAAAGGAAAGATGTAGGTCAAAGGATGGAAAGAAGAAAGAGGGAAAGGCTAAGATGCTGATTGTTTGTCCTTTATGACAAGCAGCAGGAAGGAAATCCCTCTTTCTCTTGCATCTTAGTTTATCTGATAGTTATCCTAGCAAGTAAATAAAAATTATGTTCCTTGAAACGGACCAGGTTCAGCTCCCAGCTCAGTCATACAAGTGCTTTTCCCTGAGAAAATCGTCGCACCGCTTTGTGTTTATGTGTACTTCCTGTTGTGTCATGTAGACATTAATGAATACATTTTGATTAATTAATAATGTGTATGCAAATGTGAACTCAGTTATATATTCAGGGGTTGAGGTTTAATAAAATTAATTTTTACTGCTTCATTAAGAACCCTCTTAAGTGAACATCTCTCTTGTTTTCAGTGCTGAAAATGTGAAGAATGCAGTGGCTGTCACAGCAGTTGGGTGTTCCTGCTGTTTACCCACCACTGCTTTTGCACTATGAGTGCACATTTTGGGTTGGTCAAAAAGTTTGTTCGAGTTTTCCCATACATCTTATGGAAAAACCTAACCTGAACTTTTTGGTCAGCCAGTATTAACAAAGTGTAAATGGTAGAGTCCATCATGGTGTTATTATGAAAGTGGTTCTCACCCTGTTCTTTCTGAAAGACTGAGGAACCCTTCAGCCCCGAGGCAGGGTCCCATGGAACACAGTTTGAGAACCACTGAACCCCCTCCCCCAAGGGCAAACATAGACTTAAATCTTTCTTTTCTTTTTTTATTTTCTAATTTGGCCATGCACATGGCTTGATGGATCTTAGTTCCCCCACAAGGTATTAAACCTGAGCCCTGGGCAGTGAAAGTACAGAGTCCTAACCACTAGTCTTCCAGAGAATTCCTGGCTTTAATCTTTTATAAACCAACATGGCTCATGTCACCTAGATTGAAACTCAGTTACCCAACTGAAACCCATGGGTGCAGCTCTGAAACCTCTTCTGGTCTTACAGACGCTCAGGATGCACCAGCTCACGTTCGCCCACAGAACTCGAGCCCTGCAGTGTCTCCTCTATTTGGCTGACAAGGAAACTATAGAATCTCTCTTCAAAAAATCCATCGAAGAAGTGAAGTAAGTGGAGTTTTTTAAATTATATTAATAGAAAACAGGTCACTCTTTGGAACCATAACTTTTAAGCCTCTTAGTTCGGAAGATTACGTTAGAAGGGCTGTGTCAACAAGTTGCTCTTGCCTTGAGTGTCCTTGTTCTGGCAGAGAGAAGACAGGCCCTGAAGAACATCTTATTTCTCTCGAATCTTTGAGACGTTTAGAAACTGAGTGTTTTTTTCATCTTCCTCCAGTTGATTTCTTTCTAGTATTTCTTGACTATATCTTAGAAGCCTAAAACAGACATGTAATAGACCAGTCCAGTATTTCTAAGTGTTGGCTTTTCATTTTAAACATACATGTGGCTAATGAGGAGATTCCTATTTCCTGCCTCTGTTTTCCAGATCTTACTTGAAATGTATAACTTTTCTGGCATCATTTGAGGCGCTGAATATCCCCATCACGTATGAATTATTTTGCAACAGCCCTAAAGAAGGAATGATTAAGGGTCTTTGGAAAAACCACAGCCACGAATCCATGGTATGTACACTGAGTTAGCTGTGGTGGCGGCCTCCATCCTCTCAGATGCTGTTGCCCTCACTTGGCTGCCTGCCACCACTCAGATCCCTGAAAGACAGATCCAAAGAAACCCTTGATTCCTGAACAGGTCCGCTGCTCTGAGAGCTTTCCTGTTTTCCTCTCCTGGCAGGTAACACGGCAACTTGGAAGCCGCCTTACCTCTCTCCCAAAAGCCTAAGGCCTGAAGCCATCCCTTCCTATCAGGGCAAGGTGGGGGGGAAACACTTTTTTAATCCCTCCCCAAGCCTGTCTGTCCTCATCTAGACAGACTGTCCTTGTGCAGGAAGTTTTGTTCCTCTTCCTTCTAGTTACCAGTGGGAGTTCAGTCTCTGAGGCAGCTGGAACCCAGGGCAGGAAGGATATGGGGCCAACAGGCAAACTGTTCTAGGACACAAGAAACAAAGAGGGGAGGAGGAAGAGGAGCCTGAGATGCTGTTTGTGAGTCCATAACTTCGAGAAAGAAAAATAATTTTTTTTTCTTTCCCTAGACAGATGAGGGACTTCATTGAAATTAGGCAGTAGACACAGGTTGGCTGAAAGCATATTTTGTCTTCAGCTATCTTACCTTTTCCAAAGATGGTTGAATTTACTGGTGTCTTGAAACAGTATGATTTTTTTTTCCCCTGCTTCAGGCAGTAAAGTTGGTGACTGAGCTTTGTTTAGAATACAAAATCTATGACCTGCAGCTTTGGAATGGACTCTTGCAAAAGCTTCTTGGCTTCAATATGGTAAGTAAAACTCAGTGCCCTAGACTGCAGTGTATTGTAAAGATTTTGTGCAGCATCTCCTAAACATTTTGCACTGATACTTGTTATTGAACAGATGTATGTGGAAAATGTTCACTCTCATTGGGTTCATGCCCAACTTAAAGAATGTGGCATGAGGCCAGAGAAAGTGCAATCTCAAAACTGACATAAATTTCATTCGAAACAAACAGAAGAGTCCCTGGCGTCTTTTGATGTTTGTGGATTTATAGGTGACCTTCTCTGGTGATCCTCAGAGAAGATACAGTCTCCTGATACTCTTTGTGAAAGTTTCAGACTCCTAGATTGGACTTTGAAATTTTCCATTTGGGTAATCTTCAGAAATTTTCTGTTTCATTTTCTCAGATTCCTTATCTAAGGAAGGTTTTAACAGCCATTTCTAGCATCTATCCTCTGTGGCAGGTATGTAGTTTTTTCTAAAATAAATTTTATAGAATTTAATCTTTAGACTCACTGACCTTGTGACTCACAGGTACCCTAGATTAAGTAGTCAGTTCCTCAGTGAAGCTGCAGGGTGCTATTCCATTAAAATGGTGCCTGGACCCGGAATACTCAGCTCGGACTTTGCCTTCCCCAAGACATCACTTCCCCCAGCCCTCTAGGCCTCATGAATCACATCTCCATTTATGCTCTTAAAACACATGGGCTCAGCTATAACACCTGTCATGGTATAATTTTTTTTAAAACATTCATTTACTTATTTATTTGACTGCATCAGGTCTTCATTGCGGCGTTTGGGCTCAATAGTTGTGGCATTTGGGCTTAGTTACCCTTCAGCATGTGGGATCTTAGTTTCCTGATAAGAGATAGAACCCCTGTCCCTTGCATTGCAAAGTGGATTCTTAACTACCAGACACCAGGGAAGTCCTGGTATAAATTATTTTAATCACACATGTGACTGCCCATCTTGGACTTTGAAGATTCCTAAAGTCAGAAACCCTGTCATAGTCATCTTTTCTGAATTTCACGTGTTGTTCACATGCACAATCACTATACATATATGTAATACATATATAGTATGTGAGTGCTGAGTCACTTCAGTCCAGTCATGTCTGACTCTTTGTGACACTATGGACTGTAGCCCGCCAGAAATATATATTTTATTCTTAGTTTAATAACTTAGAACATATGCTGAGTAAAATATGAAAATTTTCCTTTACCACTTCCCTTCATAATCTCTCCAGGCGTGACTACTGTTGACAGTTTCCTTTGTTCTCTTCTAGAGTTTTCCTATTATCATATAAGCAGGTGTATGTATACATGCATGTGTATATTGTGTGTGTATTCATTTTTGTACATATAAATTAAATCACATTACATATAAATGTTTTTTTCCATGTAACGATGGTATCTTGGAGATTGTTTCCTATCAACACATATAGATCTCTTTTTTTTTTTTTTTTAGATCTCCTTTTTTATCGAGATATAATTCACACGTAAAATTTACCCTTTTAAAGTATACAATTAAGTGGCTTTTAGTATATTCACAGACTCACAGTGAATACAAAGAAGTGATTACCAGAGAGAAATGGGGAGTGGCAAATTAAGGATATAGGATTAAGAGATAGAACTACTATGTATAAAACAGATAAGCAGGACTTCCTTTGTGATCTAGTGGCTAAGACTGCACTTCCAATGCAGAGGGCCCTGGTTCAATCCCCAGTCAGGGAACTAAATGCCACAACTAAGAGTTCACATGCACAGTGAAGATCAAAGATCTTTCATTATGCATCTAAGACCCAGTACAGCCAAAATAAGTAAATAAAAATAGATAACCAGCATGGGCATATTACATAGCATAGGGAATTATAACCATTATCTTATAATCTTTAGTGGAGAATAATCTGTAAAAATACTCAGTCACTATGTTGCATACCTAAAACTAATATTGTAAATCAACTATATTTCAGTTTTTTTAAATATAAATGAGGGTATTTTGTAGAGCAAAAAACAATAATAATAAATCAGCCAGGATTATGTGTTAATATCCTAAAATATATAGTATGAGGAATATTCTGGAATCTTGATGATCTAGAACAGGGAGCTAGCAACTTAAGATTTTGGTCTTAACATCAAGAATATAAGCTCTAAATGTATATAGTTCTGTGACTGCAAAACAGAGTTCATAAGATCCAAGACTTGAGTTCTTTTAATACTCCTGTTTCCACAGGTTCCCTACTTCAGCAGAGCTTGGCAGTGTGTGGTTCAGATACCGCTGCTTTCAGGTATTTTTCTGTGCCCTGAAATGTTGACAGTTGCATTTTATAGTTTTGTATATAGACAGGTTATTGGGTTTGTTTTGATTTCTTTGTGTGTTTTTTTGTGGTTTTTTTTTTTTTTTCATTGTGGACCATTTTTAAAGTCTTTCTTGAATTTGTTACAATATTGCTTCTGTTTTTTATATTTTGGTTTTTTAGCCACAAGGCCTGTGGGATCTTAGCTCCCCAACCAGGGTTCAAACCTGTGTCGCCTGCATTGGAAGGCAAAGTCTTAACCAGTGGACCACCAGGGAAGTTCCTAAACACATTGTTGCTTTTTATTTTCAGCCTCTTGTCCTTTAAGCCCCAGTCAGCTGTCAGATTGTTGTGAGAGTCTCATTGCTGTTCTAGAGTAAGTAAAATATTTTTCCTACCCCCTAAATCAAATTCGTTGCTTATAAAATTCCTTTCTAATAAACATAACTTATGAGTAATTAAGAAGAAGTTAAGAGAAGTTAAGCACACCACTAGATTGAAAATAAAATATCTCTATTATTTTTACAGTGTCTACTTTCTTTGTGCAGTGCAGCTAATGAACTTATATTCAGTACACATTCTCTAAAATTTGTACCTAGTTTTAATGTAAATATAGAGTACCTTTTGTGACTACTGTAAACCATATAGTTACGTCATAGATTTTGAGTCTTCTAAGTATTTGTCGCCTGACATGTATAGACTTGAATCCGACAGGTTATTAACTAATTAACATGCTCTCTTGAAGATGTCCAATTTCAGATGATCTCGACATGATCAGAGTGGCCAGACAGTATATCCAGTTAGAGCTTCCGGCTTTTGCATTAGCGTGTCTAATGCTTATGCCCCACTCAGAAAAAAGGCACCAGGAAATAAAGGTATCTGGCAAATTACTCATCTGGGGCTGCCAAGGAGGTGGAAGGTCTCACATTGCATGTCCCCTGCCAAAGACTGCACTTTCTTTTCATCAAAGCTGTAAAGCATGGGTAGGATAGAAAGTTTGTGTCGGGGCCTAGTGGGAGGTACGACTGAGAGATAGATGAAGACTCATCTTAGAAAGCCTTAAGAGGAGTTTGGACCTCATTCTCTATCAGTAGAGAACAGTGAATTTTCCTGCAAGTGCAAAGTGAAATGCTCTGGCGGTATTTAGAAGGAAGTAATCCACCTGGGCTTGATCAGGAGAGAGAGGGAGCAAGAAGTAAAACTTCTAGGAAGCTCTTGCATTTGGTTAGAAATTCATCTCACTCGATGCATGTACAACAGCCTCGTGACTAGGCCAGGGAAGCTTGAGGGGGTAAGTGCCCAAAGGAGGGTGGTGGCAACAAAAACAAACCAGAGGAAGATGGCTTGCTTGCAGCTTGACTTGGTGATTAGTCGTGGAAACTAGAAAAGTCAGGTTGTGTGTGGGTGTCTAACAAAGGCACCATGAGCATTCTGAGGACAGAACTTTTAAAAATAGCTCCCATCCCCTTTATACTATAGAATAAATAGAACAAAGCATTTTGAACTGTTTTACAATGATTTCCCCATGGGTAGATAAGCCAGTTCATAAAGATCTATATAAATGAACAGACGTATTTTTTATTTATCACTTGCTCTATTCGTTTCATTTTTTTTTCAAAGCCATATGTGCCTGTCCTTGACTTTGTTCTCTTTTGACTAGTCTTAAACTCATCTGTTGATGCTTTTCAGAGTTTTAGTATTTAAATAGATTCCTTCTGGCACTTAGGATGACAAAATGTTTATTAAACAGCTCTTTGTTGTTGAAATGGGTATTTGTAAAATGCTTTTTCCTTACTTCAGTAATTTTGTTGTTGTTGTTGATAGAGGCGGTCTTTTTTCTGTACTAGATTCACTTTAAGATATTTCAAATGTAAATATGAAAACCTTCCAGATTTGACAGAAATTAGTAGTGATTATACTTTTCTATTAATTATGTTTTGATTTTTTTTTTTCTCCAGAATTTTCTGGGCTCGTGTGACCCTCAGATCATTTTACAGCAGTTAGAGGAGCATATGAATACTGGCCAGTTGGCAGCGTTTTCACATCAAGTAAGTGGCAGTTTCCTCTCCCTTTTGTTATGAAAAATTTGTTATTAGGAGGTAATCAATTTCCCCTAAACCAAGATTAAGCTGAAAACTCACCATCTCCATCTGTTTGTTAATATATACAATTAATGTCGCTTTCATTAAAGCCTCAGTAAATTTTTAAAAATCAAAAACCCTGGGTGTCCTGTTTACTTATGTGCACAGTGGAAAATCTGTAGCCTTCAATGCTTGTCACTATGATGAACAGATTTTCCTCAAAAAAAATCCCGAAGTGCTTAACAACAATAACTTTTAATTTATTCACTGTATGCTGAAATGGGCCAAAGCAGTCCCCCGCCAGCGCACCCCCTCACAAGGAAGGCTTAGTCACTATGCAGTGATAATTTAAGATCTAATTGTCAGAAATGCTTTGGTATTGAAGGAGACAACGTGGCATTTAACACATTTTGATTATGATACCTGTTATTCTATAGATTAGAAGTCTAGTGCTGAAAAATATCATAGATAAGAAAGAGTTTGGGATTTTGGCAAAGACAAAATACTTCCCAGTGTTGAAATCACACATGATGAATACCAACAACATCACTGAACTTGTAAACTATTTGGCAGATGAGTTGAGGTAAGTTGATAAATTTTTTTTAAAAACAACTTAGTGTAAAAAAAACAAACAACTTAATGTAGAATATACTAAAATTTATCTTTACTTTGGAGGAAGATACCAAATAATTGTGAAGCTATTTGGTTGTAATTAAAGGCTCTGAATATTAAACTGTAGCATCACTACATTATGCATACCATACTGCTAACACATACTCAGAAGCAGCTGTTTTGTAACCCATTCTCTTGGAACATGAACTTGAAATCAGACAATTAATCAAGCTGCCTGAAATCCCAAAATAGGCATCTCACAGTCCTTCTAAAACCCCACATTACAACTTTATTCCTTAGATGTTTGACTAGAGGCATCGACAACTGTATACAACATCATTTTTTCTAAGCGTATCTAATTTTCCAGTACCCACAAGTTTAGAAATAGTATCCCTTGGGATGGTGTTGGGTGCAGATTTGGAAATTAAAACGAAGGGCAAAATGAGTTGGCACTGAAGAAAGAGAAAGCTCAATCGGGACTGAAATATTTCCAGATCCATCCCTACATTTGTTTGGTCTAACCGTGCTGATCCCTGGGAAGTGTCTCTTTCTCAGTATCACGCCATAGATTTCTTTTTCTTTTCTTTTTTAAATTTTTATTTCTTTTTTTATTTGGCTGCACCAGGTCTTAGTTGCAACATGTGGGATCTTTAGCTGTGGCATGCAGGATCAGCCTGTGGGATCTTAATTCCCTTTCCAGGGATCAGACCCTGGTTCCCTGCATTGGGAGCATGGAGTCTAAGCCACTAGATCACCAGGGAAGTCCCATGCCATGGATTTCTTTCTGCTTGTTTACCACTTGTGATCCAGCCATAATTGCAGGTTGTCATTTATGAACAGTAATATTTTTGAGGTAACGTTGATACATATACTAAGCTGCACATACTTTAGGTATGTCATTTGGTAAAGCTTGTGTACACCTGTGAAGCCATTGCCACAGTCGAGATGGCAGACCTACACATCACCCCCACATTTTCCTCATGCCCTTCTTCTTCTTATTTCATAGTTTAGATGACGCTTCAGTCTTTATAACTGAATATTACAAGCATTGTGGGAAGCCCATACCACCAGGCACCACTCCCTGTGAAACTCTGAAGGTAAATCTGGCCCAAGTTACTGGGTTTTAACCTGACACCATTTCTATTTCTAGGGTCTTGATATTGAGCCAGCCGGTTCTGGAGATAAATGAGTTTTTATGTGCAACTGCATGTGTTTTTACATTTCACTTTGTGTATGAGAGAATCCCAGACTCAGCAGCTGTGTGGCCTCAAGCCAGTTGCTGTACCTGAGTGGCCTGCAGTTTTCAGATCTGGCCCTCCCAGCCTCTCAGGTGCTTTCAAGAATCACGACTCCTTGTGGAGTCTTGTTTTTAATACAGGGGCAGGTGACAAACCAAGTTTTATTGTGTTTACTTATTTGGCTGTACCTTGAAGCTTGTGGGATCTTAGTTCCCCACCAGGGGCCTGAACCTGGGCCCACGGCAGTGCAAGTGCAGAGTCCTAACCACTGGACCACCAAACTAAATTGCAAAGCACATTGATTAATGTTGTGCTGGAGTTTCCATCACCTTTATTTCTTTTTCTTTAATTAGCTAAGATACATATGTCCAGTATAGAAAAATAAAAATCTGGAGGAGAAAAAATAATAATAACAAAAAAACTGATCCCTTGAAATTTCAGTAACCAGAGATAAGATCCTTGTTAACATGTTGTTATGCATTCTTCCAAATGCTTCTGTGTATGAAAACAGCACATAACTAATTTTTACTCTTGTTCTGAACTTAAGTATAAAGTAAAATTTTTCATTTTGATCGTGTTTTGTTAGTTTTGGTAAACATAATTAGGTTATTGTGGTTTTTTCTTCCCTTAGTCCAGATCAAGCATATTAAAATATTTAGCCTACATCTTGTTAACATCCATTAGTAACTTCCTTTGTTCATTTCCAGTCTGTTGTGATCAATGGCATAAGATTACTTTTTTCAAAAAGGGAGAGTGTTGATTCAGGAGACAGGTTTGTGGCCCTTAAAATGTATCTGTTTTTCTCCGATCATAGTTGTCTAAAATGCAAAATAATCTCATACATAGATTTTTAGCAGTATAGTTAAGTCTTTCCTGTAGTTTGTCAAATGATTTTCTATTTAAAACACTGACACTCATAAAAATGCTTGTGTTTCTTTCCATTTAGATGTTTAATGGATCCTAATAGATCAAACTTTTTTCAAGAAGAACAAGAAGTTTGGAATCTGTTAATAACTGACACTATTTATTACAGTTTTTAAATTGTGCAATATGTGTGCAATAGCTATTGTCAAATATTCCCCAAGAAGTAATAACTAAGATGCTTAATAACAGCAGAACTGCCTCATAAACAAAATGTCCCAAATTAATAAATCTTTTCCTTGCCAGTTACGTGCATAACTTGTAGAGACTCTTATCAGTTTTTTGGTACTCTGTATGAAGAAAAGTATTTTGCTCTCCCCATAAGTAAAGCAACTGCTTACATCCTGTCTCTTCCACTTATGTAGGTAAGAATATCAGTCTCTTTCTCTTTTTTTTTAAGTCTTTATTGAATTTGTCACAATATTGTTTCTGTTTTATGTTTTGGTTTCTTGGCCACAAGGCATGTGGGATCTTAGCTCCCCGACCAGGGATCAAACCTGTGTCGCCTGCATTGGAAGGTGAAGTCTTAACCACTGGACCATCAGAGAAGTCCCAGAATATCAGTCTTTTTAACGTCATTCGAGTAAATATGTCTATAATCTTTGCTGCTGCGTGTATCCGTCAGTGGCCAGCCAGATGTACAGAAACCACTCTAGATAGTTGAAGCAGAGAAGGATTGAGTGTCAGGAACTGATTACAGAGGTGTCAAGTGGACTGAAGGCAAAAGGGAGATGAAGAAGGGGCACTGGAGAAGCCGAAGGGAATGGGCTATTAGCCTAATATCAGAACGTGCCTTTGGGGACTTCCCTGGCAGTCCAGTGTGAAGACTCAACGCTTCCCATGCAGGGGGCTTGGCTTCCATCCCTGGTTCAGGAACTAAGATCCCACAGCAGCACATAAAGTGGGGGGAAAAAAAAAAAAAAACTGCTGCTTTGGCTCTGAGCCGGGGTGCCGCTGTTCCAGAGACTGAGCCTCCTCCCCCTGGCACTGCTGCCCACGCAGCCCTTGGTCATCCTCCACTAGTGCTTCACTGCCAAGCCCCCTCCAATAGGGGGGCAAAAAAAGCAGCATTTTGCTTTCAGCAACCTTCTAATTCCCATGCCTATGCCAAGAAATGACAGAGCTAAACAGAAGCCATCTGGCAAGGAGCCTGAGAGATGAAGGCTGCAGGCTGTAAGCCCCTGGCAGGACAGGAAGGAAGCTGGCTGGAAGGGCTGCGTGAAGCTAAAAACCTGCAGCAGTACCCAGCACACAGAAATGTTAATCACACCTCTTTTGGTTCTACTTGTGAATAAACTGAAGCTGATAATACTAGAATTCATTTGCCTTTGTTTGGCTTGTGGAGAAAAATATTTCTGTATAGGAAAGTCAATGTAATATAATTAAAAACACGGGTTTTGGATAAATAACAAGTCTGGGTTTGACCCCCCCTGGCTCCATCACCTACTAGCTGTGTGATCCTAGATGAGTTATATAATGTCCCAAAGCCTTAATCCCCTCATTTGTGTACCTCTTGGCTGCAGGTTTATTAGATGGTCCACCACTTACTATCTTCTGGACTTTTTACATCAGTATGTTTCACAAAGCTTCTTTCATATTTTTGGAGTTACTTCCTTATTATACATTCCCAGGAACATATTTACCAGATCAAAGGGAACGCAGGACATCGTAAAGACTAGATGCAAATTGCCAAACTGCATGCATTTCCAACAGTCTTCACGAAACCCTATTCCTACCAGAAACACATGTCACCTTTACTTCATCCTCCCAAAAGATGGGCAGTTTTTCTTTTTAAAACTTTTTGCTAATTTGATCAGTGAAAATAGTGTCTTGGTATTTACGTTTGTATTTATTTAGCATCTATGTGATTAATCCTTAAAAAAACTGTAATTATAAGGTTGAGCTCACAAGTAGAGCCTGTGATTTTTACTCTTGGGCATAAATGTGCAAGGAACAAAAGGGTCACGTGGTGGCACTAGAACGTAGCAAATGGAAATGACCGTTTCCACTTTATCAGCAGTCCCCAACCTTTTTGGGGCCGGTTTTGTGGAAGATAGTTTTTCCACAAACGGGGGTCAGGGGGTGGGGGTGGTTTCGGGATGATTCAAGCACATTACATTTATTGTGCAGTTTATTATTATGACATTGTGATGTATAATGAAATAATTACATAGCTTACTATAATGCAGAATCAGTGGGAGCCCTGAGCTTGTTTTCTTGAGCTCAAGCAGTGATGCAAGCAATAGGGAGTGGCAGTAAATATAGATGAAGCTCCACTTGCTGACCTGCTGCTCACCTCCTGCTCTGTGGCCCAGTTCTTAACAGGGCACCAACCAGTACTGGTCCATGGCCCAGGGGGTTGGGGACACCTGCACTTCCTGGACTCAAGCTGGGCTAAAAAGGATTTCTTTCTCCATCTTAACACTGGTTTCATTGTTCAGAGTAAAGTTCTGTATGTTAACTAGATTCATTGTGGTGATCATGTCATCATATATAGAAATATTGAATTATGTACACCTGAAACTAGTATTACATGTCAGTTATCCCTCAATACAATAAAATAATTTTAGATTAGGAAGCATATCAAATAAATTGGTGGGAGATGGAATAGACATGCACACAAGTTCTGATAGGTAGCAGGTTAGCTTTTTTGGGGGGGTAAGATTATTTTATTTTTTCAGCTGTGGTGGGTCTTCGTTGCTGCAGTCGGGCTTTCTCTAGTTGAGGCGAGCAGGGTCTATTCTTGCAGTGTTTAGGCTTCTCTTGTTGAGGAGCACAGGCTCTAGGCACACAGGCTCAGTAGTTGTGATGCAGGGGCTTAGTTACTCCTCTGCATGTGGAATCTTCCAAGACTAGGTATCAAACCCCCATGGCCCTTGAATCATCAGGCGGTTTCTTAACCACTAGACCACCAGAGCCCACAGGTTAGCTTTTAATATACCAATGAAGTAGTTTTTTGCTATATAAATATATTTGAATTTAAGTTCAAATACATAATTAGCTAGGATCTTTTTTGTTATTATATTTATTGTATTTTTATTAGCCATGACCATTTTTATTTTCCACTTGTCTCCATACAGCCATTCTCCATCCCCTTCCCTAAGCATATTCTAAAAACTCAGGCTCAGTAGGTGTGGCTCATGGGCCTGAGAGCTCATGGGCTCAGTAGTTGTAGCATACAGGCTTAATTGCTCCAAGGCACGTGGATTCTCCCAGACCAAGGATCGAACCCGTGTCCCCCACACTGGCAGGCAGACTTATCCACTGCACCACCAGGCATGTCAACAAAGATCTTGATGAAATTTTAAAAATTTATATTCTGGGACTTCCTGGTGGTCCAGTGATTAAGACTGCATGCTTCCACTGTAGGGGGTGCTGGTTTGATCCCTGGTCTGAGACTTAAGATCCCCATATGCCCATGTAGTACTACCCCAAAAATTACATTTTAAGACAAAAAATATTGAAACAAAACTTTATCTGCTTGTGTTGGCCTCCTCCCTCCCCTGCAGTATGCACCGTGTGTCTGCATTATGCATTAACCAGACCTCCCCTATGGCAGAAATACCCGCTCAGCCATAAAACCCAGTTTTTCTTCTGGCACTAGCCGTGTAACTGGAAGATACCATTCCCTTCTCAGTCCTATAAAGTGCGTGATGACCCATCACTCACATTGTTTGTGCAGGTACCTTTAGTGAGTGCTATGTAAAATGCCAAAATATTGGTTTCCTTAATAATGATTGGTTCAGTACAGACTGGTCAGACAACCTGGGAAGATACTGGGCCACACCTAATGGAAGTTCTTAGCTTAAATACTTATGACCTTATTGATGTTACTAGCTATATTACATGTATTCTGCCTAATTCACAAGATTATTGTTTCTTGCATGGCCAAATGTGTGACTGGTTCTCAGATAAATTAAATGACGACTAGGTGACTTTGAGATGATGGATAATATTGTTCTATAAGATCAATGATTGTAATAGTGTACCTTTAGATATGGAAAGAAGCAACAGGAAAGAACCATTTTCTAGACCATAGCAGATCAGTAAGACAGGTAGTCCAGAAGCCTTTGGTTATAGTTAATAGGGCCTAGTCCAGTAACGTGTGTGTTTGTGTGTATGCACGCTCAGTCATGTCTGACTGTTTGTGACCCCGTGGACTGTAGCCCACCAGGCTCCTCTGTCCATGGAATTCTCCAGGCAAGAATATTGGAGCAGGTTGTCATTTCCTTTTCCAAGTCCAGTAATAACACAGCCCCCCACTCCCTAAAAAAGAAAAAAGCCCATCAATGAAATCCGCACCTGACCTGGAAATGAACATTCCTAGCGTCGTGGGACAAACTGGTCACAAAATACCTCCAAACCTTGACTGCAATTAAGACTGAAAGAAAGGAGTTATAAAATAAAGAACGGTGCCCACCATCCAGTTCTACAAGAATCAAGTCATTAACTGCTGTGATCACTGACCTATAACACACCCTGAAAGGAATTCAGGGCGAAGATCAAGCTGAGGCACTTTGTGCTCTGAGAAAACTGGCAGAACTGGCCCTCAGATTGTTAGATATTTTCAGGAGAGAATTTTGTAAACCCAATTTCTTGCATCTTCCTGTATTTGGAAAAGCACTAAACCCACTATGGTGTCTGTTCCTGGTAACAAACCACAACCTTCTACCAATATGTCTGGTAGATTTCATGTCCCCCTTCACGAAAATCACATATATGCTAACCTCCCCCTTACCCCTTTGGAATAGCCCTCAGAGCTGTCTGAGTCACCGTCTCCCAACCTATCCTTAGATTGGTTGGGGTAAAAGTTTTCATTTCTTTCTTATACTATTGATTTTTTTCATCAATACTTTCTAGGAAGATTTTCTATAAAAAAAAAGGTTCTCCTTTAAGACTTCCCTGGCAGTTCAATGGTTAAGACTCTGTGTTTCCACTGCAGGGGGTGTGGGTCTGATCCCTGGTCAGGGAATTAAGATCCTGCAGGCTGCTTGATGCAGCCAAAAATTTTTAAAAAATAAACAGTTCTCTCAGTAGATCTACCAGGAAAAGGCACTCCTCTGTGGAGGGTCACATTCTTTTTTCTTAATTTGGCTGCACCAGGTCTTTGTTGAGGCATGCAGCATCTTTAGTTGCAGCATGTGAACTCTTAGCGATGTAGTTCCCTGACCAGGGGTGGAACCCAGGCCCTCCAGAGTCCTAGCCACTGCACCACCAGGGAAGTCCAGGGTCACATTTTTTAGAGCACAGTGTTTAAAAACTGGATCTCAGTTGCAGCCCAGTATTTCCTGCCCATATACACCATGACTTACAAATGGATCCAGTCCACCTGCCTTTCTAGCCTCAATGTTCCCACTCCCCTTTTCTCTGGCCAGCCTCTCCCCTTCCCCAGTCACTTGCTAGACCATAACCATATTTACTTCCCAAAACTATTAAAAGTTACCTTTGTTGCTTTCTCTATTGATCATCTCACTATTCATTAATTTGTCCCCAAACCTTAGAACTGTGCCTCATGTAGGAGACTTTTAATATGTTTGTATGAGATAAGTAAATTTTGGCTGCCCATTTTTCAGGGTAAAATTCCTTCCTTGAATGTTTCATGGTCACATGCACACATGAAGGCACCTCATTACACATAACAAAAAGAGAAATTTAGCAACAACTAAATAAGTAAAGACACTATTTAATTTTCATGACTCATGCACAGTCTTTCATTATCTCTAGCTTTGCATGAAGTGGCTCATTGCCATTCCTTTGACTAGTTGCAGTAAAGAATCTAATTAGTGGGGCACTCTGCTTGCCCTTCTTAAGGATGGAAAAGCTGGTCTGACAAGATGGAAGATATTCAGTCTTCTTTGTACTGTTTCTTTTGGGGCCCAGAGATTTGGAATCTACTTGCTGTGCTTATGTAAGCACATTGGCCCCCTCCCCTGGGTAGTTTTTGACAGAGTTAGCTTTAAATAAGAGAATAAGACCAAAGAGTTTGGGTGAACACGTCCGTCCAGATGGGAGTAGCCAAGTAAGCACACAGATGTGCTTAAGATAACCAATGGGTTCTTTTTAGTTGTTGAATGCTGGTGCCCTAGATATAATAGGCTAGTGATCCCCCAACTTTTCTATGGCATGCCCTTCGGTTAAAACGTTTGAATATGTACTCCCAATGTATATTCCTTTAGTAGAGATTTTGAAAAGATGAAATATGAACACATTCAGTATCTTCTAATAACCTATCATGGGAAAAAACCTAAAGCTATATACCTGAAACTAACAGAATATTGTAAGTCAACTATAGTTAAATTTTTAAAAAGAAAACAAAGAGGGACTTCCCTGGTGGTCCAGTGGCTAAGACTCCTCACTCTCAATGCAGGGGGCCTAGGTTTGATTCCTGGTCAGGGAA